TTGGAGCTGTGGTAGCCCTGGGGTGAGTGGAGCCTAATGGCCCCAGAGCAGCAGAGCTGCGGTGGTGAGGACAGGCCTGGGGGCAAGGGAGCTCTACTAGGTCTGCAGATGGAACCCCGGAGAGCCTGGAGCCCTGCCAGCAGAGGGATGGAATTGATCTCCCCTGGTGGCAAACTCCCTCATTCAGGACCACTCAGGTCCTGAGGGTTCCAGACCAGGGAGGTCCAACCTGTACAGGGTGGAAACTTTTCAAAGACACCATAACAGAGGCCCAACTTAAATTAAATTAATGCTTATTACGCCCGCTGGCGTGTAGGGCAGCAACGAAGGTTTTCCATTTTTTCTTCGTTGCTGTTTCTGTAACATCATTTTTTTTTCTAGGTCAGGGTTGTTAGCCCTGAGCTGAACCCCCAACCTGGAGGACCAGTGAATCACACTTAGTCTGGTCTCTACCCTTCGACCTCTGTTCCTACCAAGAGCAGTAGGCTCCCGCTGACATAGCTCTAGGAGTCACTGAGACACACAAGCCCCCCAACCGCGACAAGTGATCTATTGGGGGGAGAACTTAAATGTATACCCCAAATTAAAAAGTGCACCATGGCTTAACAACAAAGTAAAAGAAGCAGTGTGAGAGAAAAAGAAGTCTTTTAAAAAGTGGAAGTCAAATCCTAGTGAGGAAAATAGAAAGGAGCATACACATTGCCAAAGTAAGTGTTAAAATATAATAAGACAAGTCAAAAAGGAGTTTGAAGAACAGATAGCCAAAAACTCAAAAAGTGATAGAAAAATGTTTTTTAAGTACATCAGAAGCAGGAAGCCTGCTAAACAACTAGTGGGGCCCCTGGACGATCGAGATACAAAAGGAACACTCAAAGATGATAAAGTCATTATGGAGAAGCTAAACTAATTCTTTGCTTCAGCCTTCATTAAAAAAGGGATAGGGAATAAGACAGAGAATATCTTATTGCCTCTACGTAAAACCATGGTAAACCCACATCTTGAATACTGTGTACAGATGTGGTTGCCTCATCTCAAAAAAGATATATTGGCATTGGAAAAGGTTCAGAAAAAGGCAACAAATGATTAGGGGTTTGGAACGTGTCCCATATGAAGAGAGATTAAAAAGACTTGAACTTTTCAGCTTAGAAAAGAGGAGACTAAGGGGGAATATGATAGAATCATGCCAATATGATAGAATCATGAGTATGATAGAATCACGATAAAATCATGACTGATGTGGAAAAAGTGAATAAGGAAAAGCTATTTACATATTCCCACAATATAAGAACTAAAGGTCACCAAATGAAATTAATAAGCAGGAGTTTTAAAACAAACAAAAGGAAGTTTTTCTTTACTCAGTGCACAGTCAACCTGTGGAACTCCTTGCCAGAGGATACGGTGAAGACTAGGACTTTAATGGGGTTCAAGAAAGAACTAGATAGATTCATGGAGGTTAGGTCCATCAATGGCTATTAGCCAGGATGGGTAGAAATGGTGTCTCTAGCCTCTATTTGTCTGGAAATGGATGACAGGAGAGGGATCACATGAGGATTACCTGTTGTGTTCCCTCTCTCTGGGGCATCTGGTATTGGCCACTGTTGGAAGACTGGATACTTAGCTAGACGGACCTTTGGTCTGACTCAGTATGGCCGTTCTTATGATAAGTGAACTTTTCGGTCAGCGCCTCTAAAATATTTGATGCAGTTATCTGGACCAGATGTTATAAAACTTCCTAACTTGAGTAGCTTCTGTTTAACATCCTCCAGAGAAATGGAAAAATATTGTTATCACTATAAGATCTACTATATCATCTGTTTTCCCCCCAAATATGGAACATCAATATTTACTGAACACATCTGCCTTTTCTGCATTATTGATAAATTGATCTCCAAGAGCTCTCCTGTCGACTCCGGTACTCTACCAGGACAAGAAGAGTAGCCAGTGTTGACAGGACAGCAGCCCCTGCCGACCTTACTGCACACAAGTTGCCATGGTAAGTACGTCGACTTCAGCAACACTATTTGCATAGCTGAAGTCGCATAGATTAGGTTGACGGCAGGGGTGTTTGCAGACAAGGCCTATATCATTTGTTTTCTCCCCAATGCAAACCAGAAATATTTAGTGACCACTTCTGCCTTTTTTGCATTTCTGTTGATAATCCTACCATTTTCACCTAGTAACAGACCGATACTATTGTCAAAATTCTTTTTGTGTGGGAATTCAGACCACTTGCAGCATAATCAGTCAAGTCAACACAGCTGTAGGAATAGTTTCCGTTAGTTAGCTGTTGTTGCCTTGACAGGAGAAAGAATCCCACATTCTTATGGCCTTATTTTCATAGATGTTGAGTACGTGCAGTGCTGCTTTTGCAATCATATTTTGCACTTCAATAGTAGCGTCTGTACAAAGATCTTAGAATCATAGAATAATAGGACTGGAAGGGACCTCAAGAGGTCATCGAGTCCAGCCCCCCGCCCTCAAGGCAGGACCAAGCTTCGTCTACACCATCCCTGACAGATGTCTATCTAACCTGTTCTTAAATATCTCGATTCTGAATCTGGAAGATGTTGATCCTGTGTTACAGAAATATGAGATTAGCTGTTCTTATGAGAGGCCTGCTATCTGGGCAGGCAGATGTTCATGGGAAATTTCAGTCAGATATGAATGAGTACAGTGGAAACTATGTGCCATCCAGTTCCAGATCCCCACTAGAACTGAAAATGCTGGGGCAAGTTTGGATCTGGAGAGGGAAATCCTATCATCTACCTTCAAAATTTCAAAGGGGAGTTAATCCGAGTTTCCCTTTTTGGCACATGCATGTTGTGGTTTGAGGACTGGTACATGGCACCCCCCCCCTCCCAAAAAAGAGAGAGGTTTAAAATCTTGATATAATTTTCCTCTTCAAGAATATAGACTTCACATCCACTAAGAATATAAAACACATGGTACAGAGGTTGAGGATAACACAATATCTGAACTTGAGAACAGAGCATTCACTGACCATTTGTACTGTAATCCTGCTAATTATTTCTCTCCAAATGTCTATTTGTATGCAGTACTATTACCTTATTAGGGTGCTGTGCAATACCCTGTGATTTATGGTAATGCTCTCAAACATGAATGTCAGTATACAATATTATTGTGATACAGTATGGAACCAGCAACATATTTTATATAGGTATGGGTACACTGGTTTAGGTAAAATAAGTGCTCAAAGAGCTAAACTAGAGTATTTTTTGAACAAAATATATGTACATCTTTTCTTCCTGGCCTTCTTTGAAAGTCTTGTATGATTTAGTAGGTATGTAATCCATGAGGGTCAATGGAAATATAATAAGATTCTATATAAATTACTCAGAAAATATATAGAATTTAACAGAGAATGAGATCCCTGTTTAATATGGTTTAAAAAAATCTGTAGAAGAGTCAGAGTTCTCAATTAAATTCTCACTGGTGTTATTTTGGAATGGACAAGTGAAATACAACAATTATTGCTATTCCTATGGGTTTGTTAATGGATGGTTTTGCAAGCAACTAGTGCACGTTCAGTTTCTCACCCTCCAAAGTAATCATATGGTCTGTATTTTCTCAGTGGAAGATAGGAAGGATTTTTTTTGCTGCTGGGTAAGCCTCTTGTTCTCTGGATCCCACCCAGGGCACAGGGAGAAGAAAAAGCTGACTTAGGACTCTGACCCTCCTATTACAACCAACCCTCCTCCACAACCTATTACCAGCTGCTCCCTGGGTGCTGGTGATCTCTCCCACCATCAGCTCTGCCTGCAAAGGTGGCTGGAGTCTGTTTTTCCTTTCCCTAGTCCTTTGTCCTCACTGCAGAGAGAAAAGAGAGCTCTAGTGGACAGGATGGGGATAATTTTTCCCATGCACACAACACTTGTGCTACGACTACACTGCTTCTCTCTTGCTGAAGGGAAATGCAAATAGGGCGCTCATTAGCATATGTTTCATTCATTTG